TTACTATAGGGAAAGTAATTCATTTGTCTTTTAAACTTGAATATCAAATACACAAATATCGGATCAATCACTGGCTGATTCTTTCATAAACTTCAAGAGCCTGGTTGTACAGTAATATTAAAACCTCTTTGTCAGTTTATTTCTATAGATTTATCAGTTCTTAATTCATTCAGTATTAATCTGTTTACAAAATTCAGTTATTTTCCCTTTTTTTCAGAACACGGCCTCTTTTTCTTTTCTTTTCTGCTCCAAAACCTTTATGCTTGTAAGCAAGTTATGACTTGTCTGCTAAGAGCGACGCTTTGCTACAGAATGTTTTTCAATTTGTTGTGGCAGAAAAAGAGCGTCTTTGTTGCTGTTTACAGAAATTTCCTCTCCTCCAGGAATAATATCCATAACATCGGCATCACCGCTAGCAAGCAGACTCATTAACTGACCAGGTTTACTTATGTCTAAACTTGAAGCAGGTGGGTTATCAACTTGTTCCCAGAAGAAGACAGATCGTCTCAGTCGAATGAGACGAGACATGAGTGAAATAGGCAGCGCGGTTACATCAAAGGGCTCATTGATTGGAGCTAGCAGATTCACTTTCTCTATGGAGATATTGCCTAGTCTTAAAGCAGGCTCTGCTGGTAGGACAATTGGTACGTAAAACTATTCCGAAACGATTACAGTCTTGAGCGAAGTTATAACTTATTTAAATGACATATTTTCCGATGCATTTATAGGCTCGGGCTCGTACAGCGTTTTCAGAGGAGATATTTGCTGAAGCTAAATCAGGTCGAGTTACCGGCAGATCAGTAAGCTAACTTGGACAGAAAGCCCTTGCGGGCACTGTACGCCTATTTAGAGGTACAATACCACAGACTCTAAAAGCATTATGGACATTCGTTAATGATACAGCTTTCTCCAAAGCAAGTGAGAATGGAAATGTCCATTTATCAACTACATGAAGAACATTTTCCTAGCAAAAAAGAAAAACATGTATCATTATATACCTTTTCAACAGTCGAAAGAATGTGCGGTCTAAGGGTTGTAGAAAATTAGTACAATTGGTAGTAAACTCAGGAGGACAATATTCTCTTCAGTAGCCTGCTGTATTACAGCGAAACTCTCACGCAAGCCATGACTGGGTTATGTTTAATGTTAAGTCACGAACATTTTCCTAGCAAAAAAGAAAAACATGTATCATTATATACCTTTTTAACAGTCGAAAGAATGTGCGGTGTAAGGGTTGTAGAAAAATAGTACAATTGGCAGTAAACTCAGGAGGACAATATTCTCTTCAGTAGCCTGCTCTATTACAGCTAAACTCTCACGCAAGCCATGACTGGGTTATGTTTAATGTTAAGTCACGATTCATCACTTTGACTCAACTGTGTCAGAGTAGTTTTCCAGAACTTTATTAATAACATGCGTGCCATGACAATTCTTCGGGCTTTCTCAAAACTATCCCGTAAATCGGCTCTTCAAACCTTCGACTCATGTTTTTCCAGCTTTCAAATCATTATGACCGGACTTGATCTTACGTCGGTCGCACAATACATGTGTTCCTCTCAATATCTGTTTACGGCCAAGGCCAACTCTAAGTTAACCAGTTGCCATTATGCTACTTACACATTTTCCTTCTACAGCAGCAGGTAACGCTGGTGGTCTGCCATGACTTGTATTCAAACCATGCACCAATCGTCGACCCCGGAACATTAAACAGTTTTGCCGCATTTTGTACGAACATGCCGGCTTCAACAGCTCTGAGGGCGTTTTCAAGGGATGCTTGATCATATCTCATAGTTACCTCTATTATATAAGTATACTTTTTCGGCATACTGAAAAAGAATAAATGGTTAGAGATGTTGGTTATGCAATTAAATTTGTCAAAAGGCATAGGGAAAAATGGCGTACTTTTGACAGGCTAAGATATAATGACAATGTAATATGTTTTATTGAAATGGGTTTGATTAATTCGTTTATTACACATTAAAAAGGAACTGACTAAGATGTGATAAAATTTACATCTACATGAAGTAGCCATGTTGTTATAGACCATGTTTAGGATACTGTTTCAAATCTAAATAGCGTGTGCAGTTATTATAAAATATAAATACATTTATTTTTAAAGAATAGTTAATTGTTTTTAATTAAAGTTAGTTCTATGCATCTGGAGAGAACGTCTTCATTTTTCTTTTACATTTGAATATCGTAACTGCTCGCCAATCAAGTGGTCCATATTTTAGTACTGAAGAAAAATGCGTAGGGAAAATACGGACGATTTATTTTTGTAAATAAATATTCATTTAATCTAGACATTGTACAAGTTCATTTTTCTAAAGAATATATGTCATTTAAGAAAAACCTATTAGTCTAAATAGTTAGATAATGCATTTAAATTAACTAAAGGTTTAGACCTCAATACCAAGGTGACTGCTATATCTTCGATTTGAATGTTGAAAAAATAATATGGAATCAAAGATGATTCTTTCAGAGAAAGAATATGACGTCATACATACCTTATGATACCATCACTAACATGAATATTAAAAGAAGCGACACATGAGGATATGTGTAGCGCTGACAATGATGATATGCAGGTTAATCGCGTTTGTATTAACCGGGATTTTCCCTACAGTATCTTATACAGATTTGCTTTTCTTATTTGTATCCAACAGAATTTAGAAACACGATTTTATTTTCTCGGAATGAAATTAAGCAAGTATTTTGTTTCTTTATATTTCATTAAAGCTGTGTTTGTAGAAATTTCGCCTATGTTCTTATTATAAAATCATGCTTTTTATTTTTACAGCTAGCTGATATTTTGACGTAAAATGTGTTCACCGGGCCGATTATGATTATCAGTATTCGGCCCCGGGCTGCAAAAACATAATCTGTCACGTGACACTCATAATCAGTTGAAATCAAATCATAGGCAATTTTGTTTCTATTTATAGTAACAAGTGTATTAATTATTTTTCTTGCATTATACTTTCGGCGTTTGTGATGATATTCCTGCGCATTTGAACTCGAACCGTATATTGCATATACTTGGACATTAGAACCTTTTGAAAATATCTGTAAAATACACTCAACTTAACCTTCATCAATATATGGCAGACATTTTTGATAAATTATTATGAATAATTGAATTTTTCAAAATTGCTACAAATTTTCATTTTGATCTAAAAAAAGAAAAAGACTTAGATTCATAAAAACCTGACATTTAAATAATTTAAGTACGACATTGATCTTTAAGTGGCCTTGACAGTCAGAGAAAATAATTATTTTCTTAAACTGCCATTACTTTGTTATTTATTTTTGTACATATGTAATTGATATATGAACATAACTATAACACTTTCAAACGGATTTATTATATATTATTATATGAAAGACCTTGCTTAAACATTTGTGAGTGATGGCTCCTGTGTTTGAAATTAAAGCTGTATGCAAGAATATAATTATGTTACCTTCAGTGATATCTTAGGTCATTGTGATTTCATAATAGCAGTTTGTTGTGCATTGCAATTATTATGTTGTATCATCTTCCAGAAAAGGTTTTGTCCACAATTGATAGATTCACGCGGGCGCATTTTTGTTCATACTGGCACGTTGACCCCTGTGCTCTTTCAAGGAAAACATCTGCCAAAGGTAGGATTATTGTTTTAAAAATGAAAACATTAAGTACCATGTATAATGTAGGTTATTATCTATTTAATGATATTGTATAACATTAAAGACAACTAAGAACAATGATATAACATGTTTGAATAGTTTTATAAAGAATTAACAATTAAAAGTAAGGAAACAATTTCTTTTAATAATGGAAATTAATGTATACTCTAGGCAGGGAGAATGCTTCCTAGTTTAGCCATATATTTTGACAAAAGCTGATCAACTATTATAAGAATCATCATACTTTGAAACAAAGTAAAAAAACAAACACAAAAAACATCAAAACATTGATTGCATGAATTCACTTGTGCTTATTCATCAGAACTTGGGTGATATGCTTGTAATTAGATTCGATGAAATATGATTGCATGATTGTTTTATGATTATTCGAATTCTATGTTTATTTCTTTGAACAAAAGAAGTCCAGTGTAGCTTTAGCATTTTTTAAAACTCATTAAACGCCCTTACTGAGTCGGTCCAATTCACAAAATATCAGTAAAGTAACTACCCTTATAATACAAATTAACACCACATTCTTCATCAACAGTAAGTTGTTATCGTCTGATAACATATTTCCATGAACATGTACTCATTTGTGTTACAAAATGTGTATGTGTTTTCACGGGCGTCCGTGGCAGAGCGGTTAAGGTCGTTGACTTCAAACCACTTGCCTTTCATCGGTATAGATTCGAGCTGCGCCATCGCCTTGCAATTCTGTTGGAAAGCAATCTTGCTAGCCTTCAGGCTAATAAAGATCAGCTAACGGGTATTATGATTTTCTCATTATTCGATAGTCCTAAAACCTAATAGGTTTCACAGCAACAAGTACAATCACACTATTAAAAGAATAAAACATTAACATCTGTCACAGAGGTCAATGGCCTCCTACTGTTCAACTGTGTGTGTGTGTGTGTGTGTGTGTGAATGATCGCCTGATCTAGTGACTGCAACCTAATTGTTTAGTTAGCAGAAAGACATTTCACATTTTGTAGCAAAATACGATCGATCTGTGCAATAATTCCGGCACTGTTCCTAGATATTAAAACTAATCATAAATCTATTTACATTCAGGCTAGGTAGATAGAAACAGTCTGCATTTAACTACACTTATACTTCATTTCTGTCATTCATTTTCACACTGAATTGAAATGAATTTTCTTTTTAGCATTTTAATATATGCAGGCTTTAGTTATTAATGATAACTTTAATGTTATATTAGTCTGATTTCCTTAATGATATTGATCGTATTTTAGGTCTCCATCGCGAAGTTTTGCTTCTAAAAAATTAATAATCACAGGACAGGCACAATTCAAAATACACAGTCAGAATGTATCTAACAACAGTTGTTGAAAAAAAGCTCAGTCGTTAGCATAGAGCGGAATGGAGAAAAAAGAAATCCCTAAAGATCCCCCAAAACGGCAAAATGAAAAATGTTACAGACTCGGTTTGATTGGTCCGGTCGATAAATAGTACTAGAAAGTGCAAGGTACTGCCCAAGACCCCAGCACTGGCTTATGCAGAATACAACATTTTACTTGAAAATAATAAACTTTTGAATTTAGAAATATCTGTAGATGTGTCCGTATACGGTCCTAATCATAGAACCTACAATGGGGCAATCTAGTGCTTTCCATGAAATGTTGCGAATGGTCCCCAATGTGTTCCCTGAATGAGTAAACAACATCACAAAATACAAATTCAAAAAGCAGGCAGCATATCCTTAAGGTGATTATACATGCCTTTCTTATCTATACAGCGTATTCGTTTTTTATTTAAAGTTGGAAAATACTAGCAAGTTCTACTACACTTGTAAGATGTTTACAAAGGCCTTCAGAGCGTTTGCAGTCAACGACTCAGTCTTCTGCATTATAAATGTAAGCTTTCTCAATTTCATTAAAACGAACTTCCAAAGAATTCCACAAGTTATAGCTTAATCAACGATCCAATCTTCTGCATTATAAATGAAAGCTTTCTCGATTTGATCACAACGAACTTCCAAAGAATTCCACAAGTTATAGCTTAATCGCGACATTTCTGAAATCATTTAACATCTGGTCAAAGTTTGATTGTCATATTAAGTTCACATTTTGCTTTAGTAACGTAGATAAACCTTTAAATAACTTAAATTATAGTTTTTCTATGTGACATTTTCATATTTTCGTGATCATGTAAAGGCATTGTTGTAGGAAAGTTATATTTTACAAACAAATAACTGAGAATTTATTGTTTTGCAGGCACCTCATTTGTTGAATAAACCGCTTCAAAATGAATCAACTGAAATTTACTATGGTTCATCTGGTAAAGCAACTTTCAAATTAGAGGATCAATACAAACATTATGGTATTTTCATGCTTTTGACTTCTATAAAATTGAAGTGAAATTATAAAAAGAGAATAAGATTTAAGTAACAAAAAGAATTTATTATATTGTGTAAACTGTTAGGTCGCGTTTCCTTGGGTTTGTAATGGTTTATGTACCTATCAAGCAGTAACAGCTGTGTGGAGTTTGATTGCGAAAGTTTCCATTTCTTATCTATTATCATGATGTATTAACGGGTAAGGATGGACTATCGGTTAACTGCATTGTATTAAAAGAAATATTCAATACCCCCGAAAAATGGTTGGCATATAATGTTTTGCCCTTGGTGTTTCGGCTGTTCGTCTTTTGAGCAATTAAAGAAAATTTAAAGTACTTGGTAGAAATAACAACCATGATTAAAAAGAAAAAAAAAACATGTACAATTTTGGCAGAAGAAAAACACAAGTAAACCATACAAGTCTCATACATATATGCAGCTCTCCAAATTTTAAATTATATAGGAGAAACTTAATCTCGTCTCCTTTGTGTACATGTGGCGCTACTGACACTGACTCTCACTTTCTGCTTATTTGTCCTTAATTGGTATCACTCCATACGTCAGCAAAGTACGAACATAAAATCAGATTCTGCACTTGTCCATGCTTCATTGAAGCATTAAAGCGTTTCGATTCATAATTTCCGACATAGCATTTTTCAACTTCTTATTCCGGTGGCAAACTGTGTGACACAACTGTTTTATTATCATTACATTCATTTTTATACAGTTAAACTTTTGCACATTTCACTTATTTCACCAGTGTTATTTAAGACGGCAAATAACCAGTATTATCATAACAAACAAAACGGTTACAAAACACCTCTAATTTTATGTCTATTAACCTTAATTGCCTTTATTACGATCAAGGTGTTAAAAACATGTGTCGCCTACTGTCACATTCAGAACATGTCAGCCCGCAACTTTTGTTGTCTTTTTGTGTTCGACCGAGAAGGTGTGATTTTCACTATATTTCTGCCGAAGGGACCAGAGATCAGGTTAGAGAGATGTTCCAGAGAAATTTTGCCGATACTGCGCGATGAGTTCGAGCGAAGGGATGTATTCGAGCGATCCGAGTTCGAGCGCAGGAAGTTTAACTGTATTTGGCAGAAAATTTACCTCGAAGAATTGATGCCCATAGTGATGGTTTGAACTTTCTCAGGACAAAGTCACAATTTCCTGTTTAAACCGTCGAAAGGAACTTTAAACTAACGACGGAAGTATAATTAGTAATAAGACGTCATCCAGAACACATGTTTGGGACTGCTGCTATATTAAATTGCTTCGCCAAGCGGATCACTTAGTTTACATAGACTTATATAGTCAAACACATTTATTCTAATTCTATGCAATTATTTAAAATGAGCTAAGCTATTTGGCATGTCTTGAGGACTACTACCAAAATGGATAAAAACATTCTCCTCGGATCAATATTGTCCCACCCCACGGGCCACTTATCTTATAAAGACTTATATAGAAAATATATTTTAAATCTTAAATGTCCAGAGCCAAATTGACAACTAATCTTAGATAATTGGCATGTTTCACCACCTGGCATACCTTTCTATTAAGTGACAAAAATCGTTAGCCTGGTGTTAAAATTAGCTCTGACTGGGAACTGAATCTTAAACTACAGCAATTTATGTAGAAAATTTCTCTTAAAAGTCTATCTAAGTTTTCCTTTATAAAATATCACGTTTATTTTGGAAACGACTTTGCTTTCTGGTGCATATTGCCCTACATTCGCGGTGCTCTGGTTTGAACTTAGAAATAAGGGTTTTTCGAGTCGATTTGAAATATAATATTACAATTTTCCTTAATTGCATTTTTATTCCAAAAGACAAAATCTTAAACATATAATTTGCCTTCATAATGACTTTTCTTTCCGTTGTAAATGTTCATATCCGATATTTCTGAGAAAACATGCATAAAAAAGATATTGTTTCGATTGGGAAGTTTACCAAAGTATATACATGTACATGTATTATAAAACGTGACTGTATATGAAGTATATTTAGAAATCTTACAATTTTAGTGACGGTTTACAATTGTACAATGTTGGCCACAGATTGTACGCAATGTAAAGCACTTAACAAAACACGATTTCTTTGTGACTGGTGCACCAACACCAACAGATGTGGCTATAAAGATCAAAATTGTTCATCGGTAAAATGTCCGGCTCCTTCTATAACAGACGTAAGTGTCTAGACATTTTAAAAAACAAATCGGTACGTTATCGTTTAGTATATTACTTGCTGTTATTACAGTGTTATTTTAGTTAGTTGGATATTTATTCGGGGGTGAAAGAACATCATCTGGATTTGTTATGAATGTTTTGTTGTTGTTTTTGAATTAATATTGAAAAATTAAATATTTATATATAATCTAAATTGTATATTTAGAAATGGACCAATTTTATTTTGCCGTCCGTATTTATCAAAAAGAGCATTATATAGTTTCATCTTGAAAAATCTACCATTTCAAATAATTCCAGAATGTGTATCTAGTTTACAGATATTTAAGCCATGACCGACTTATTAGTTAAGATGTAGTATTTAGTTATGATTGATAGTTATTAACTATTTTACAAAATGCACTAATATTATCAAAGGTCATTCCAATGGACGGTCCTGTAGATGGAGGAACAATAGTTACTATTTACGGATTAAATCTGGGCTCAAGCCTGTTGGATATCAACAGCGTCGAAATTGCAAACATTCCTTGCAAAATAAACTACGATATGTCGCAAACAAATGACACACCCAACGGAATTTTTGAATCAAAAATTCCAAATCGGTAAGATAACTATTATATGACTCTCTTATTATATTGGACCAGGTCTGTGCATTTCTGATTACCCCACTTGTCCTCTTTAAGCTTAATCAGTTTTAAACTTGACAAAAATGATAAAAAATATACTTTACTCAAATTATTTCACTTAAGATAAGATTGATATAAAATGCTGTTGATATTTTACACTCTTTTTCAAGGATAATATGTTTGACTGGATCTTCCAAGAACGAGACATCAGGACCTGTCATACTGTCAGTAAATAGTCGAATGTCTAGCTCTACTGTCACATTCTACTATCGAGTATGTATATATGTGATATTTTTCCATATTAATATAGCTTAAAATACCCTTGCTCTCATTTATCAAACTTTCCCTGTCAATATACTGTTATATCTCAAAGCCGTAACATCTGGTTAACATCTCTTTAATTCAAAGGTCAGCTTGTTTAAAATGAAAGATAGAGATTCGCCTTTAAACTAACTGTTTATGACATTGATACCTTTTGAAAGATTTTGTTGTGTAGTATGGTGTAGTGGATATCTCTGGATGTCTAAAATGAGTTGCCCCACTTGTATTATACTTTCTACTTTTACATTCACTCGGGGGAACTGCTTGGGTCTATTGGGACCTCGTACTTGTTTATTTTAATTGATGAATAACATTATTATTACTTTAAATTGGAAATGACTGACTATAAACTGTATACGTTGTACACGAGTCAATACGCTACGCATTTCCCGCTTAATTTTGTACATGTTACTTTGACCAGTGATGTAGAATTTTATTATGAAAAATGTGGTCATTTAATGGACGGGGGGATATCTGATAAGTATAGCAAAAACATCTGCGAACGTGTTAAAAATCAGATCTGGACTAGTTTGAGTTTCAAGTTCGCTATAACTTTTGTTTACATGATAGTTTTGTTTGAAGCATGTACCAGATAAAGCGGGGGGAAACTGGATTGTCTGTTTTCATATATATATTTCATTAGCAGTCATTTACATGTATAACAATAAAGAAAATAGATAAAACATAACTTTTTCGAGTAAGGATTGTTATTAAAAGAATACCTTTGCAAACTGATATAACGTAATCAAGTTATTTTATACACTTTTTATGAAATGTCACTCCGTAGGTTCCAATTGTGACGGACATTTTACCACATTACGGACCGGAAGCAGGTGGGACCCACTTAACTATATTCGGCAAGAATCTAGGAATTGGAAATAGAAATGTAAATGTAAAACTTGGCAATTTCCCATGCTTAAGACCTGAAGTGAGGCCAGAAGTTCCATTAGAAAATATGTAAGTTAAATGTTTTAGAACATTAAAGCAGGAAATAATTTTTTTTCTCATGTATCAAACGATTTTAAGATACAGAAAAAGAAATGCAATTATTCGTCAATCCATTTGGTAATTTTACAAATAGTCTACTTACTCATAGTGTAAGCCATACCTTTCCAGGTGCTATTCTTTCTGTCAAAAATATAGATTGCTGTCTTTGACATACTACTCTGTCGTTTGAGACAAATCGCGATTTTGACATTCCCTTGTTTTCTAAGGTACGGCGAGCACTAAAGTTTCTTTGCACTCATTTATCGCACAAGCTACAATATTCTTTTCGCTTGGCCACAAAATGTAAATTCATTAACCATACACCACGCCAGAAAACACCAATCATTTTATCGCGCACTAAAGGTTCAATGTATTTAATAAACCTGCCATAAAAACATCAAGCAACACAAAAGGCACTAAAAGGTCTAGTGTATTTAATAAACCCCGCCTAAAGACATTAATCAAGTCATCGCATCATGAAAGGGATACTGTATTTACAACGCACTATTATACATTTGTCAATACATCAAACTCTTTCTTCACACTGCAAAGTCAGCATTTACTGTTTATATATGTCTTGTTATTTTTTTCAGGGCATCAATAAACTCTACAATTGTTTGCACGGTTGGTAAAAGGGGAAATAACACAGCGAGCAAGAAAACAGTTTATGTCGGAATGGATCGCCGCATTCTTATTATACCCGATTCATTTACATATGTCCACGATCCGACTCTACAGCCTTCAGTTCCCAAAAAAGCATTTCTAAGGTATGTTTAGCTTCTAAGTACACAAAACTTAATATTATAATGTTGGATATATGCAACTTAATTTGTCAATCGCAAAGAGATGGAAAGCGCTTATCTTCTGAAAAGTTAATCATTTGCAGCTCAGATTAGAGTGTTTTATTGTACAAATTCAAATTGATTTGTCTTTAACTGCTTTACTGAATATGCTGCAACTATAACAATCTTTTTATTGCTTTTTAGAATGAATTAGTATCATTTAGTTTTAATATAAAACATCTTGTTTTTTATTGTTTAGATTTTCTTTGGTAATTTAACATTTTGATGACTAACATTTTCGGTTATGACTGTAGTCCTAATCAAATTCAGATTGAAGATAATTAGTATAACTAGATTGCGTTAAATGTCACTGTTTGGTCTTTCTTAGTGGAGGAACTAAAATTACAATTGAAGGAACACATTTAGACAACGCCAATAGTGCAAGATTAACAATAAGTTTCATGCAAGACATTGAGGTAATTTTATTTACTATTTTACACTAGACTTATTGAAATTAACTTTAATTAGTATTTTAATTCTTTGCCCAAGTTGGTTAATGCAAAAAGTAGCCTCTTGATGCTCATATCACACAGCCCGACGGAAAATGTAGCTGATGTTATATTTGTACTTATGTATACCTTGAATCATATTGTGGGTGTGTGGTTTACCGAGTCTGCAATTTTCATATCATTTTGTTGTGATTAATAGTTCCCTTTTCCTTAATCGCCCTTTTTCTAGATTTTTATAATTTACAACAGCAGGTGTCAAGTACCGTGTGGCAAGTGTAAAGATTTGTCACTTTTTTGCTCCTTCGGAATCATTGATTCCATCACTGAAAAAGTTGAAAATCGAGTAATTGCTCAAGTCGTTCTGGGCATGAGGGATGTTGTACTTTCTCATTATCCCTCATGAACAGACCCAATCAAACCGAGTCTGCAATATTCATGTTATTTTGTTGTGATAAATGCAAAAAGAATCACCCTTTTCACTATAATCAAAGAAATTCAATACAAAATTTCATTTCTTTTTCAAATTTTAAACTTACTTAGGACTGCTGTTTATTTATTCGCCTCAACTGCTAATGATGAAACCAATCCTGTGAGGCGTTTAACATCATAATGGTACAGTTCTTTACGTGCAAAATCCACGACAAAATCGTCATTTTGAATAGGCTAACAGTTTTTTGAAATATGTAAACAAAAAGGTTAAACTATTCAGAATTTATAGTCTGTTGTTTCAATAAATCATAATCATTCATGTTCCTTTTTGTTTATTTTTAAAATTTTTTTTTTGGCATTTGTGAATTTGTAACTGTTAGATAATAATTATTTAGTTTTGCATAAAGTTTTAAACATTGTCAGTTATACATCAAATACCTTTATACTCAACATGCTGTTTATATTACAGACTGGCGACTGCATTATACTGTCAGAAAATTTGGCATCATGTGAAACTCCAAAAGCGCCAAAAACTCTTGAAGAAGAATTATTTAAATTCGAAAATTCAACTGATCGTTTTTTAAAACATGTTACAGTAGTGTGTTCTATTTTTCTGGATAACGTTGAAGGCAATATTGAAATAAAATACTATCAAGATCCAATTATCAATCAGCTAGCTGAAAGTGACCATGTCGTAAAGTTTGAAGCCGATGAAAGGCTTCTGAATATTACTGTACGTTTTGATCAATAAATAAATATCACTATCATCTTTCAGCGTTCGATTTAAAAAAAAAAATTTGTTCAATTTTCATACGTTTGAAGATAAATCAAATTCAGAGAAAATTGATATAAATGCTTTGAATATATATGTTTAAATAGATTTTATCTTAATGTCTTTCTCACAGTTGCCTTAATTGAAATCTAATTTTCATTGAATCATTGCTGTTATTATTATGTTAATTAAATTGTACATTCCCTGAACATTATTGCAAGAATTATGTTTGGTCATATATTGCCGCTAATATAGCTACATTATAGCTTTTAATTGTGAGTTTAAAAGGCAGGCTTTCCATTCCTTTTGCATTTCAGGGTAATATGCTGAACCTTGTTGCGACAAAATGTGATATAATTGTAACAGTCGGCGTAGAATTATGTGTTGTAGTGGAGCTAAATCTAACGTGTATAACATGCATTGCTCCTATAATCGAACCAAGGAGTAGAATACCAAATGCAACACGACCGGAGGTTAATGTAAGGAAAATTCTTTACCTGATAACGTTTTGGCTTTTTAAATTATAAATCAAACAATCAATTACCGGGAGCTGTTTTAATTTAATTTCTGAAATTAAAAAAAATATTTAAATAAACTTGTCAGTGTTTAAATTATTTGTAAGTGCGTATGTAGCTTTATATTCTTGACAGTTCATCGTGTAAAACTGTTGTATTCATTTCCCGTGTATCACTGACTGTGTAGAGCTTGACATACTGAATTAAATATCTAACGTGATGAGAATATATATCTGTGTAAGTCCCGAACGTATTAGCTGGAAAAAAACTGAATTTTGTTCTGTATATTGTCAGTTCAATAGGAGTGTACACTGAAATATGAGAAACAGCCACATCCTTTTATAGTTGAGCATATAAACGCAGTAAAAACGCCACTACTACAAATGTGACAGTGCTAACGTAATAGAAAACGAAAATCGTGTGCCTATAAAACTACCGACACGTTTACCTTCTTGTCTCCTGGTGCTCTGTGATGCTTTATGTAACCATAACGTATTTGCTACTATAAACTTGGCACGCTTGTAAAAAAAATATGTGCGTAACCGTTTACTTCTAGGTAACAATAGGAAACATACACAAGATGATTGGATATGTTGAGTATATAAAAAAGTCGCCGGACACGATCAGAAACTATTCAAGTACTCCTATTACTTCCGTTGTACTGTCGGCGACTGGAGCGGGTGCTGCGCTCATTTTTATCAGTGCAACAGGTAAAATTATCGCATATACGTGTACATAATTTCCTTCTTCGTTGATTTTTTTGTGTATATGTAAATTGAATTTAGCTATGTTTTGAAATCCATCGAGATTTTTACGAAATAGTAAAAAAAAACACGGAATCCCTAAAGGATGCCCAAAACGGCAAATTTGAAAAGGCTGCAGACCCGGTATGATTGAGCCGAGCATTAACGTCATTTATGTGTAACTGTTTATTTACTGTCGCCACTTGGAAAAATGTTAGTCAAAATACTCCCGTGAACAAAATGTTTTTAATTACACGTACATTTCTTTTCTTATTTAGCACATGTTTATTTCATGTTTGCAATCGATTACTGTAAGATATACTTAAACCGATGTGTTCGCTGCTTATTTCAGAGAATACATAAACGATTTTAAATCAATTTTGCATTCTATAAAGTGAGATGCATTAACGATTTAGAGTAAATATTCAATGGAATACAAACAATTTCTAGGTAGTTTGGCACTCTCTTCATAATCTTTATAACGGCGGGAAAAGACAGTGGGTTGTTGGTTATGCAGCATTTGTACGGGCGTTAAAGATTTCAGGTAAACGAAAGGATTGCATTATAGGCAATACCGAAAGAAAGTCATATATAATGTCACGTTATTCTGTCAAATTATCTCAATAAATTACATATATTTCATTTTTACAGCTGTAGTTTTGATATGTCGACAATACAGAAAAACAAAGTCAAAATTAAGAAATATTGTAAAACAGAACAGTACGAAAGAAGAAATTCCTTGTGAGTTACGTTTGAGCAGGTACATTAATTCAATACAATTCAATATTTTCAGTTTATGTTTTTGTTAAGGCTGTAATGGATTTTATAACTCCGCATCATCTTGTTATTTATAATTGATACAATTATGAAACTACGTGTGTTGCATTAAAAGTGGTTATGAATTCTTCAGGGAGTAAATTAAGTAGTGAAGTTCATATTTGGTATCCTTTAATTAGTGTCTGTTTTTCCCTCTACCAAAGTACGATTAATCCAAATTAATCCGTATCGTAGTTTTATATTTCTAGATATAAACTCTAAATTGAATACCAAAGTGATAAAGTCACTCTGCATTATTGTCAGTTATTGTGTATTTGTCGTTATTGATTACCGGTTAGGCCGCCGGTGGGGGGGGGATGGGCAGCATGAGAGATGTCGTATATTACATTGCCTCATGAGCATACTCAACTAAACTTTTGTTTAGGTACATTCCTCCAAAAGTATAAAAAATATCCAATTTACATGTAAACTTGGAGTACTTGTTTAGTATCAACTTTACAATGCATTTCGGTGTGTGTGTGTGTTGGGGGGGGGGGGAGTGGTAGTTCATCCTGAAAGCCATTTTTGTTAAGTTATTTCTCTTTTTATACTTAGTATACTAGCTTATATTTAAAATTGATTGTCCGCTTTTACACTCCGAAACCTAGAACTTAACTATCAAGATCATTGTCTTTTATATCTTATTAGCAAAACAGATTTTAGGGGAAAAGCAATACACCAAAGCATGTGAACATTCAAATAACATGGTCCTGGTATTCAAAGTTATACTGTTCTCTATTTGTGTCCATTTCACCGCTATTTATATCCTTATACATGTAATTTTATCTTGTTTATAACAGAATTGCGGGTTCGTCGTGTGAGATGAACTACTCCGAGGTCTACAATGACCAATATGAATCTGACCACTATGACACTATCGCATCAGACAACATTCAAATGGATAGATGCGAAACTAATGATAATTCTCTAAATTGTCCGCGCGAGAGCGTTTTGGAGGCAAGAACTTCAACCAGTGAACAATCCCAAACGACTAACCATATTACTGTAGAAGTTCAGCTAGAAGAGGCAATAGCAACGAATGTTAAATCCGAACCCGAACTAGCTGGCGATCAGTTGTATTTACATGTTATTAACATTAGTGACCTTTCGGACTAGCTTCTTGTTTTAGAAAGTTTCCGACAATCCGTTCACAGACAAAATGCTGGAATACGAAACGCAAGCTTAAATTGTTTTTTTTAATTGTTTTTTTATCATTGCTGTTTTTCGCGACTTTACTAGTTTAAGATACACTCAAATTTGATATTTGAAAATACTGACAATTTCTATGAAAACTCTTTTTAAATGTAAAATAAACATCTTCGAGTACACACAGAGAAAAAAATATTGTAATGCGTTTTTAACTCTACACACTATAGTTAAACATAATATGGATACCTGTCGTCATCAAAAACACGCACGTGCACACACACACAACAACAACAAGAACAATCATTTTTATTAGAAGCCACGTCACAATAGTAACAATGTGACTAATTAACATAAAATAAAGAGTGGGTTACATGATCATACTTTAAATGTTATTTTTATGTTATTTTCAATTCATGGGGACAGAAATGATATTGTCAACAAATCCTGCAATGCTGTTTTTTTTTTAATTATATATATTTAGGACTTATTGTAAGTTCAAACATGCACATGTACAATATATTGCATTCTCCTATTCTGATTACACATATTCAGTAAAAATTTCCTAGATTTCAATAATTTTTTTCAGTAACGTACAGTATTTTATATTGATAGGTATAGATATATCTATATAGTATATCTAACAGAAACAGGCAAGAAACATTTTTTTATATCGAGTAATGTTCCAATATTTATATGACGTAGTATATGTATGTATATTCAATATGTAAACAGTTTGTAAAGAAAACATTTGTGTTTGAATTATACTCTTTCAAGAACATAAAAGGATATTAACTTTTGATGGAATATTTATACATGTATAACGGTGTAAATACTTCTTTTCTTTTCTGTTATAATCATCTGTGTTTATTTTCAATCATTAGGGGACTATAAGAGTTGTAATTTGCCCGATATTTCTTTTCCAATTATGACAATAATTATCACTGTTTATTAATCAAAACAAAAGCTTCTCAATCATTATGTCCACCCAAAAACCAATGATTCATAGGCAAATAAACAAAATGCTTGTCATAGGTATGTGTCCTACGAAAGACGTAATCAAATGTTATATTTAAAGGAATCAACCAGGAAGTCTTGGATGCGTAAAACACATAGGTCTACAATATTCTGATTTTAAGTAAAAAGAATCTTAAAATGATTTATTATTGAATTTGATAGAGATTGATTTAAATTTCAATAAATTATCGTACAGGTGCCTATTTCTTTATCATCATTTTGTCGCAAATATAAGTTACTTTCATTTGGAGGGTTTTGAAGCCACAATATTGATAAGGCGATTTCCAGCTTTACTGATGGAAAAAGACTTCAGATGCTCTTCCGTATAATACCCAATTAAGTCACGTCTGTGTAACTGCCATCTTTCTGTGTGCCATCTTTGGAAGCCACAGCGACTTAAACACCTTGGCCATGGAATGCAGGACTTTGAAAAAGTCTACTTGTGTGGCGTATTTGTATAAAATTTACAAATCAAATTGATACTGACATTGCAGTTGCAGATAATGATAATTATGTCACCTGATAAAATGATACAATAAACATTCTGTGTTTGCATCATGTTATGTTCCAGTTGAAATCATTATCAGATCCATTCTTATCAATTAAGGTTCATTATCATTTTCACGATGGAAAAAAGTCAATGCCAAACTTGTATTGTACTGTTTTCATTTTTCGAGTCCAAAAATCCATATCAAATTCATATGTTACTCCGATTATTCTTTTTATTATGCTTTCATTTTATAAGGTATGAAATATTATGTCAAACCTATGTAAAATTCTTTACCTAATCTTCGTTTACAACAAAAACTTAAAAAAGAAAGAAAATAATAAAATAAATCGATATGTTGATGAATAAGTATGAAATATTTACACACGAGTATATATAACTGACATATAGGTCAATAAAGTTAGGTAGGGATATTCCTACGTCATCAGTAAAAAGGGTGTTGGAAATTACCGATTGCGTTACAAGAAAAAAAATTCTTAACTAATTATTTGTGGTTTTGGTGGTTGGCCTGTCCGTGCCCTTGTGCCCTGTCCTGTTTTTGTTTGGGGTCCTCCTGGGCTCCTTGCCACTGGCTATTGTTGCTGGGTCGGGTGGGGGTTGCGTTCATTGAACGCCGCCTTTCCTTGTTGATCTTGTTTATCATATTTTCTAAAAAATTTTCCCGGCCGAAGACAGTCTGTTTTTAGTTTGATTTCCTGTACAGGGAAGAACTGATTATAAGAAGAGTTTTATTGGTCGTTTTAAAGTTTAAGAAATTAAATGAAATCTAGGAATCTCATTGGCCATTCTAAAATAAAATGCCAAAAAAAAGTTTTAAGCTAAAATGCAAAGAATGAAATGATAGTGCTTGCCATTATGTAATAAAATGTAAAGGATAGTTCTAAAATAAAATGTACATGACAGTTCTTTAATTAACTTTCTAGTTAAATTGCTCAGATGTTTAATTTCTGTTTAACCATATCTCTTGCATTCAGATCTCATTACATTTTCTAGGGAACAGTTTATTTTACGTATGAAGTTACTGAGTATATTCATGGAGTTAAATACATGTATATGTCTGTGGTATATTTTACCCAACAACTAACCCAATTCAAGTCAAGTCAAATAAATTTTATTTATAAGTATTTACGATACATCAACAATAAACATAAGATCTGGTGAGCTTTTTACACCGACTAGCTTAAAATTTTGTTCAAAATAATGAACTTAACAGGTACGGGTCCTTAGTTTACGATGTTCAATAGGTGTCTATATATAAATATAAATATGATTATTGATGTGTTCAATTGATATAATGTTTATAATTTTTTTATATATTTTTGCATATTAAACAAGTATTTATAAAAATAATTGCCTTACCGACTTCGTATATGTTGGTGTTCACTTACCAAAACACGACAGGTTTGTTTCAAACACCATGGAGCTAAATATAAGATTGTTTATATATCTGTGGAAACACATACGGTACATCTTAACACAGGTGGCAGTATCAGTGTTTGGACACCCCACCCCTATCTGCCCCTGGACCCCTACTACAACCCTGAAAATAAAAATAATTGAACACTCTAAGGCTTACTATAAGGTACCAAATACAAAACCACCGATGAAATTATATAAAAAAAAATTGTCCACTATCAAAATTATAGTTTTAGAAAATAACTATAATTTTGATAGTGGATTTTTTTTTATATTATTTCATCGGTGGTTTTGTATTTGGTACCTTATAGTAAGCCTTAGAGTGATGAATTTTTTTTTCAGGGTTGTAGTAGGGGTCCAGGGGCAGATAGGGGTGGGGTGTCCAAACACTGATACTGCCACCTGTGCATTTTAATAGAGTATTCCATTTTTCAAGATTACTAACCCTACAAGTATGTCATTGAACATTATGCAAGCTATGCTAACACTTCTATATTACTTTGCATGGAAAAATAAGAACTACCAATATGAAAGTTAACCAGTTTTATTTCGGCCGAGATACCTCTTGTTTCATATCAGCACAGTTTGCCAGAGATGCATATAATAAATATTTAGTGTCCCATAACCTTTTCTTCGGGGGGGGGTGGGGGGCAAAATTTAATAATATATCGCGGAAAGTAAACTTTTTATTATATTAAATGTGAAAAATATTCAATTTTTTAAAATTTGTGACAACATAATTAATGGCATCATCATTTTGTTTACATTTACGACAACAAATTGCTTTTTGGCAGTCACCTTGTCAAAACAATGGAAAATTCACAACTTTCTTCCCACGATAAAGACGTTTTAACGAGGATTTTCAATCCAAGTTTGCCTTATGGTGATAACGTTGAAACAGATGTTCCACTTGAAGAAATTCCAGGTGATGACAACGCTTACAATATGTGAAATACGTTCGCCAAATTCGGAGAAAAATGCCCATTGCTCTATGCATGAACAGGCACTTGGAGTGTAGACCCCCTGAATATTAAAAACGAAAAGTATTATTTATAACAAGAACTAGTTTTTTTAATTTTTTGCTGGTATTAGTATAAGACGGTTTAGTGTCTAACACTGAACAAATATGAACAGAATTTCATAACAACACTGTAACAATATTTTACCCCGACTCTAATTTCCTGAAGATACCAAGCTTTGAAATGTAAACATGAATTTCAAGCATTTATGTTATCGCATGTCATTTCTTTCTGGTGTCAACCAATCGAGGTATATATTCTTCTAATAAATAAATTTATGTATTGATCGTACATTATAATACCTTAATTTCTTCCAAGTTTTGCACATTTAATTTGATTTCTCTAAATGTGAAACATGTTTGTATGCAAATTCAGTGGAAAATCATAAGAAAACAGAAAATTTCATATAAAATTGAAATGAATAAAAATGCACGTTGTAATCATCACTGATTATCTCACGCATCTGCGCATGACCAATATTTATGCAAGTGAAAATACAAAGGTAAACAATTAACAATATATAACAATTCTATTTCTGTTTACTTTACTTTTACATTTAGTGTTTAAATATCAGTTTTACTTGATTATGATTCTTAATAATTTCACAGTATTCACATGGTTTGGATGTGATGAATCCGTGATAAAAAGAGTGCGCATGTTTTATTCATTACAGAATTTTTTCAGGATCTCAGCATAAAATGAAAGCGCAACAGTCAGTGCCAAAAAACCAATCTGGTCGTCTCACATCAGACATGGTGTTTACAAGTGCGGATCAACATGGGGATCCATGCACATCACCCAAAGTGTCTGTGTGCTTAATTACTCAAGATGAGCTTTCGTAGTTATTGTTTAAGTGCCAATTGCCCCTTGATTTTGCATTTGATACTGATTTTAAAATGCTACCTTTTTTTCAAATCTCATTAAGTAATGTTGGTACATAAAGAATCGTGAGAGCCTTGTTCTCTAAACATGTATTAGACGTTTCACCCTTATTATTAAAGTAAGCTCGTGGAACTGGCCCAAAGGGTAGGTTCTCGTTTCACGATATCCTTTTCCCAAAATGGAATTATTAACCCGAAAATTGGATTGAAGTGAATTATGTTCTCTGACAGGTTGATTCAATTTAGGTATCATATAAAACATGAAATGGCTGTAATGCGAAAGTTGAAAAATAGTGTGTGGTTGTGTTGTGTGAATTGTGTACCCAAAAGTGTGCAGTTCTAAGTGTATTGTACTCAAAAAGAGCTCACTTTTTGGCTTTGCCTTATTCATATTGCAAATAAATAGTTTATGATGGTCAAGCCCAATTTTAATAGATTATGCTCATCAACACTTTGGCATGTCTGATTCAATGTGTACATATTCTTGTACATGCTAGAAATTACTTCAATACAGTACAGAAAATAACTCTTTATGTACAAATACAATTTGTCAATATCACTTAATATTTAAAAAAATAGATGTCTGGTAATTGAGCCTGTCAAAAGTCTGCTGTTAAAAATGGATTTCTTTTGCAACTCATTCTGGGACTCGTTGATTTTGCTATGGGAAATATTGTTTTCTAACGTGTATCTTCATACTCAGTATGACAACTTTAAGTAAACATCATTTAATCAATGTGGACAAATGAGTGTAATATGTGGAAAATTTCAATAATATGAATGAATATTAATTTATTATATTGTGTTTTATTTAAAAAAAAAAGGAATTGTAGACAGAATTATGATAAATCTTTCCAAATATAAGTACCCATGACATCAGATTGTTAACAAGCGAAATGCCATTATGAATTGTTTTTCAAGTATAGTACAAAAATTTCAAAGTTTTATTCTGAAAAAAAAGCCTAGTTTGTGTATTTATACCACTGCAAAAATGAGAGACAGATGTTATGATGTGATTCTCATGCACTGACTCTGCTTGTTGGTTTTTTACATGCCAATAAAATACTATGGATAGGCATGACTTGAAGGTAGTTAGCAGGATGGGACGTTCCAGCGTTACTGGTGGAGGAAGACCTCAGGTGCCCTATTGTGCATTATTTCAGGCACGAACAGGCACCTGAGAAGAACCACCGACGTTCCGTAAGCTAGGTGGATACCTTCCTGACATGAAATAATCCAAAGTCCCTGTCGTAATTCGAACCCACAGCGGTAAGGGGCAAGTGGTTTGAAGTCAACGCTTAACCACTCAGCCACAGACCCCACTTACATTGTAATCATGCTGAAATAAACATGTTTATAAAAACTAACCATAATATGCTTGTTTGTTTCAGAGGTAGAGACAGATGAAGTTAAGGAAGCTAAAAGACTTGAGATTGAAGGTGTCAAAGCAGCAGAATCAGGAAATATTGACAAGGCACTTGAGTTGTTGAATCAAGCTGTAACCATAGCACCAGACCATGCTTCAAGTTATAATAACAGAGCTCAAGCTCTAAGGTTACATGGTGATGTGTCAGGTATATAATGGTGTTCTTTTTTCTTCAGTCTTTGCCTGTGGTCTATAATAGATGTTTTCCTGAACCTGGGCCTTCCCCAGCTATTTTGGGAAAAGGCCTCTGGCTTAAAGTGGCATTATGCCCATCCAAGGGTATATAGTGAGTGAACAGGTGAAAGTAAAAATAAGATTTCATTTTGCCACAATTCCTATTAATCTAATGATCAAGTTTGCATAAAAAATAAATAACTCCAAACGAAATTTCTGTAAATATCTATTAGGATTTACCTATAACCCTTAGTTTATAAAAAAGAGTTGGGCAGTCTTTTTAAATTTTAGACAGATTTATTATTTTATCCTAAACCTTTTTCCAATATCAACTGTTGGTCAAACACCATTTTGACAGCCAATCTTTTCAAATATAAAGTCAATTCAGCTCAATTTGACCATGAAAATATGAGTATAGTGTGGGAAAAATTATAATGCATTTAAAGAAATTTTGAAATTAAAAAAACTCTTTTATACATGCCTTTACATTTTGGTCATGTGTATGATCATATACCGGTAATCTGTCACTTCTTTTGAAGAAACAAATCAAAACAGTTCAATTGTTGTCAAAAGTTGAAACAGTTTAATTTTTTTGCTGCTGTTCACAGTTTGGCAAAATAATATGTGTTTTTTCCATCTAATCGAGGGTTCAAAAAAACTTGTACTGTATAGCTTCATGGTGAACTACTGTTCACAATACAGAGGTCAATGCCTTGCTATTATGATCAATATACTTCCCAAGTTTTATCTGTAGAAGTTTGTTTGTACCTCAGAATATGATAGAAAAAAACCCATATTTGCTGAGTTCTGAAGTATCTCTATTTCTATTATTCCTGTTGATTTTATTTGAAAATATCAAGATGTGTTGTTTTTCCCAAAAATTGAGTTTTCATGCATATAAAGAAAGTTTGTAGTTTCAAGTCTGCTTCCTGTTATATACTTATATATAATATACGCTTGTTATTTTAGAAGACTGATTTTAACAATTTATATATTTTCAGGGGCTTTACAGGATCTAAATAAAGCCATAGAGTTGAGTGGGGGACACAGGAAGGTAGCTTGCCAGGCGTATACTCAGAGGGGAATTATTAAACGTCTTGAAGGTAAAAATCATTAAAACATTCTCATCATTAAAAATACATGTCACATCTTTGTTTTGACTATTCTTTTCTGGTAATGTTTGCATTGAGTTGTAGTAAGTGGTCTGCATGCCTCTCGTGAGAGTTATTTTCAGCTCACCCAATAGCTTTTACAAACAAACACATGCAAATGTTGTTGAAGGGAAAACATTTATAACAGACGAGCTGTAATACTGTGAATAGTTATGTTGACAGTGTTAAGTATCCTACATAAACACCAAAGATAAAATTGAACACAACTTGTGATTGTATGCCCTTTATTTATCTCCCTTTTTAAAAAAAAAAAAACATTTATAAACAACAGTTGATATCTTAAAACACACATGCTGTGTATTAAGCTTCAATGGCATGCATACATGTAATTATGAAATACCTATTTTTAGCATCATAGCTACATGTATATATTAGACATATGTACAACGTAAAATGTGGGTCAAATTGACTATCATTTGAATGATTAATATTTGTGACAAGGGAGACAACTTTAGAATTATGAATACCATTTGTGTCATGGTAGACAACTGTCATTTGTGACAAGGGAGGCAACTTAAGAATTATAAATGTGATTTGTGACAAGGGAGACAACCTTAGAATTATGAATACCATTTGTGTCATGGTAGACAACTGTCATTTGTGACAAGGGAGACAACTTAAGAATTATAAATGTGATTTGTGACGAGGGAGATAACTTTAGAATTATAAATGCCATTTGTGACTTTACAATTATAAACGCCATTTTAGACAAGGGAGACAACTTTAGAATGTAAATGCTATTTTAGACAAGGAAGACAACTTTAGAATTATAAATGCCATTTTAGACAAGGGAGACAACTTTAGAATGTAAATGCTATTTTAGACAAGGAAGACAACTTTACAATTATAAACGCCATTTTAGACAAGGGAGACAACTTTAGAATGTAAATGCTATTTTAGACAAGGAAGACAACTTTAGAATTATAAATGCCATTTGATACAAGGGAGACAACTGTACAATGTAATAAGATTTTTCTATAAATTGATATTAATAAACGGTCCTAGAACAAGATATTATCATTTTTATTACAAACAAAGTTATCAAATAATACGGAATGGCATATTTTCTTTAGGGGTTATTTAATAGGAATATCTGAAAGATATATTTTACAAGTTTTACATTGAAAGTAAATGGTATCATGTGATACAAATTTATTGTAGGTGATGATGATGGCTGTAAAGAAGATCTGAGGAATGCTGCAAATCTTGGTGGACAGTTCGCTAAACAGCTTCTTGTAACCATGAATCCGTATGCTGCTCTGTGTAACCAGATGCTTGGTGAAGTTATCGGAAAATTACGGAGTGGAGAAGGGGATTTGCCGATGGAATAGATTTCATGATCGTAATAATTGTTTATGATTTGGTTGATATTAAATCCAACAATGAACAAAATAGTTCAGACTATGATGTGGAAAATGAAATAAAATTTTATGAACTGATATTTACAACAACTGTTTAAGGTTTGCTCATTTATTTAGAACTGAACTTATTATTGTGCTTAGTTTTATTATGAGAATGGTCAGTATTAAGCGTATAAAGAGATGATAAAATTTAAAACCAAATCTTTATAAAAGGTGCTGCTATTATCAACAGTTGTATATTGTAAGTGTACATTGAATCTCAAGATTTGTTTATTTTATTTGTACATGTATTAATTTTTTATATTCTTAAAAACCCTCTGTGCATTAACACATCGTAATAACACTTCAAATTAAGACATCGGAAAGAAAATGCATTAATTTTAATGTCAATGTGATACTATAAAGTCGAGTGGATGTGGGCAGATTAGGATGGAAGGTAGAAAGACTGTCTTATTTTAAGGTTTCATTAGCTCACAGAATTGATTCTTCTAAGTTAAACAATATTATATAATTTTAATCATTTTCAACCTAATTAAGTCATTAAGTCAGTTATATTTTAAGATTTTATGACACCTTCTTAGGGGATCAAAAATATTTTCTAAATCATTTATATTTTGTATGGGAAGCAACTGGCTGGCTCATTTTCCTACTCCTTATACTGTATATTTTCTCAAATTTTACTTATTGATATGAACTGACATCTGGAATTTTCTTTCCTGGAGAGTGTAGTGTTTATGTAATATTAACTTACTTGTTTGATTTTGTTTTAACTGGGAACAGTTACTGTTGTTTTAATTGTCAAAAGGAATCTCATTTTCAAATTACTAATTTTATACATGTACATGTATATTGAAGTCATTGATAACATAAAACTGGGAGATTTTCATTTTAACATATATAACCTTTGTTTTGAAAATCTTTATTATTCTGTAAATGTGACTAATTTTGTTATTTTTTTAAACCAGTATGAAATGGTGTTATGAACACATTGATAATTTAAGGTCTTGGTGCATAATGGTTGTAATTCCTTTTTTATGTTCTATGAAATTACAATTTTTTCATGCCAAGCTCTTTGTTATATTTGACCTGGGACACAATATGATTGGACAAATGGCCACAGACTTTATAAGAGCGTTTATAAATTTTCCTGTTTATTATTTGTATGCATACTGAGATAATCAAATGAACTTGGAAACTTGGCTTAAAAATATCGCAAAGAAAGAGGTCTTATGCTGGTGTCAAATTGACACCTGATTGATTTGATTGATAATGCTATTGTTAACTTGCCTTTATTAAAAAAAATTAAATTGAACAATTTTCATAATGTCGATTTAGATTCATAATGATTGTTAGAATTTTCTGCCAGTTTGCTTATTTTGCTCTTATTTAAACTGTTTACTTAGGACAAAAAAAGATATTTCACAAAAATCAACATGTTTTCAGCTGAGTGCAATAGCTGATTAACTGCTATTGAATTTAGAAGGACTTATTTCCATTATTGCACTAAGGCCTGATTGGACAAAAATAACAATACAGGACTGATCTGCAGTTGCTTGTTATATTTTATCGCAGGTTTGACATGTCTTCCATTCCATTTGACACTTTGTGTCCTTATTAGCTCGACTATTCGATAAGAATAAGTAGAGCTATTGCAGTCACCCGAGCGTCGGCGTCCGCGTCGGCGTCCGCGTAACCACTTATGTTAAAGTTTTTGTAATAGTTCAAATATTTTCAAAGTCCATAGACATATGGCTTTGAAACTTTGCACACTTGTTCACCATCATGACCCCAACCTGTAGACAGGAGAAGGTAACTCTATCAAGCATTTTGACAGAATTATGCCCCTTTTTCGACTTAGAATTTACGTTAAAGTTTTTGTAATAGTTCAAATATTTTCAAAGTCCATAGACATATGGCTTTGAAACTTTGCACACTTGTTCACCATCATGACCCCAACCTGTAGACAGGAGGAGGTAACTCTATCAAGCATTTTGACAGAATTATGCCCCTTTTTCGACTTAGAATTTATGTTAAAGTTTTTGTAATAGTTCAAATATTTTCAAAGTCCATTGACATATGGCTTTGAAACTTTGCACACTTGTTCAACATCATGACCCCAACCTGTAAACAGGAGGAGGTAACTCTATCATGCATTTTGACAGAATTATGCCCCTTTTTCGTCTTAGAATTTATGTTAAAGTTTTTGTAATAGTTCAAATATTTTCAAAGTCCATTGACATTTGGCTTTGAAACTTTGCACACTTGTTCACCATCATGACCCCCAACCTGTAAACAGGAGGAGGTAACTGTATCAAGCATTTTGTTTCCTATCAAGCACTAAGAATAGTCGAGCGTTGCTGTCCTACTGACAGCTCTTGTGAATTACATGTATTTATGTATGTCTTTCTTTTATTTTAGTTTTTGCTTCTTGTAAGCTACATATCCATACATCTAAGAACATTTTTTCTCATGCTGAAAATTGTTTTTCTTTATGATCTTTATATTTTTGGCTACTTAGTATAGTAAGAAGGTAGAATTGCAAACAAATCAACACATAATTTATGATATTGATCCAATAACATAACCATTACATTGTTAGTAGTAACGGATAATTTCAAATGATCCAATAAAATAACCATTACTGTGTTTGTAGTAATGGATAGTTTTAAATGATCCAATAACATAACACTTATAGTACTAGTGTTAGTAGTAATGGATAGTTTCAAATTCAAACGGTTAATTCGAGTATATATTATAGAATTTTTTCAACATTCCTAGTCATAAGGTGAAAGAGGTTTATTATGTATCATTTATGTTTGTTTTTTGACATCTAAGTCTTATTCATGTTCATTGTTATGTGCTGCATTTAGTTTGTTATTTAGACGCAAGAAAGACTGTTTAGTATGAAATTGAAATTTGAATCAAGGGAAACAATTTAGTGAAGAATTGTCTCTTGAAACAAGGGACACAATTTAAATAAAGAATTGCATTTTGAAACAAGGGAGACAATTCAAGTAAAGAATTGCCTTTTGAAACAAGGCAGGAAGGCAGTTTAAGTACATGTGTAAATAACAAAGGGGATATCCGCGCAGTCTGATCAGGATCCATGCTGTTAGCTAACAAATCCTATAACAAGTAGAGAAACTGATATCGAACAGCATGGATCCTGATCAGACTGTGCGGATGCGCAGGCTGGTCTGGATCCATGCTGGTCGCAAACGCATTATGTTGGTTTTGTCATAACGCGGCTCAAATGGAATATTGATTTTTTGTGCAGTTCATAGCCTGATTTAAGCACTGCAACGCTTTTCATTTTTTGTGTCATTTTGTACAATATAAATGATTATTTTGGAAAAATAGGGTGAGAGATTGATTTATTTCCGAAAAATAGGGTGAGAGATTGATTTGAAATTTTTTTACACATGTAACTGGTTCAGACTACACAAATCTTGGGAAAAAATTTCCAGTCCCCTCATGTCAAAAACCTCAGTGGATTCTCTTTAACTCTATTTATTATCCCATCTACAAGTTTTTAATTAAACTCTAAAATTAAATTTAAGCCTCCTATGAATAATTATGCACATGAAACTGTATATGAGCCGCATCATGACAAAACCAACATAATGGGTTTGCGACCAGCATGGATCCAGACCAGCCTGCACATCCACGCAGTCTGATCAGGATCCATGCTGTTCGCTTACAAACCCTATTACAAGTAGAGAAACTGATAGGGAACAGCATGGATCCAGATCAGACTGCGGGGATGCACAGGCTGGTCTGGATCCATGCTGGTCGCAAACGCACTATGTTGGTTTTGTCATGACGCGGCTCATATATCTATACTTATTATATACATGTATATGTTTGTTACTGAGTATGAAAAAATATTTTGTAAAATAAAATTAAAACAAACTTGTTGTTCTTAGGTTATATTTTACATATGTCATGTGGAGAACTGAAATAATGATTTTCTACATACATACAAGAGAGTCAAGTTGAGCCCTTGATACTCACCTGAACATCATCTCAAAATGATTATAAAAATGGGATGTTAACTTGGACATAACATTATACATATTGATGAAAGTGTTCTGTTTTCATTGGTTTAGTATGGAGCTATAAGGTTGTAAAAGAAGCAATAAAATTCAAGTTACACAATATGATGATGTTTTATTAAATAAATAACAACAGCACAACAACATATAAACAACTGAGCAACAATGTTCATGATGGAAAATTCATTGATCATAGAAGCTTAGAAATATATTCGTTTCTTTTATATGTAAAAATGTTTATTCAGAATACCTGGGTTAAATTAAAGCTATGAAGCCGATTTCTCAGCTTTGAGACAAGACTAGGTTATTTCAGACATTAGCAGGCACATTGGTGTTCACCAAATTTACGAAATATAGCCGGACAGCTTCAACCGGTTAAAGAATTGTGGATGGCTGGATAATATTGAGACTGAATGTCGCTGTCATTTTGTGATCGTCGTAGGCATAATTGAAAGTGGAATAAGGGGCTTATAAGTGAATTGTACAGTGGCAAAGAGGGGGCATCGGATTTTTTTTCTCACTTGCGCCTACAATACAGTTCTTAAAATCAGAGATATATTATGAAAATTAATATCCCTGATAAAAATCGAAAAACCTAAAAAGAACTGAATGCAGAGGCCATTGAGAAATTAGTCTCTTGCTGTAAACATGGTGTGTACCTATAACTCATAAACAATTCAATGCAAAATATTCTTTTTACCGTATTTCAAATTGGCTGATACATATGCAGTACGTTACTAACATTTACACTTCTCCAATCTGTGTGTAATAATCTGTGTGTGGTTAACGTTGTTCGGAAATTAAACTTTACGGTTTAAACTTTTAATGCTTAAAGTGCAACTAAATATCATACTTCTAATGCTTACTGGGTAACTTTTAATGTTGACTGGGTAACTAAAAATTCAAAATTTTAATGCTTACTTAGTAATATTTATTGCTTAGTGTTCAAGCTTTTAATACTTACTGGGTAACTTTTATTGCTAACTGGGTAACTAAAATTCAGTCTTAATGCTGACTGGATTAGCTCCTGACCTTATACATAAAATAAAAGAAATTCGAAAAGTAATGTGCAAGATCAGTCATTAATTTTGATGAAATGAATTTCTGTTTTGATATCTTTTATTAGCTACTACAGCAACTCAATTCTCATAAAAATAAAACGAAATAATTCTTCCCTAATTACGAAAAATCAAGGGTAGAGATGGATTTGAGATTTAAGTGTAAGAGTAGTTATAATTTCACCTTTCTGTTTTAGTGGTTTCATATCCATGTGCCTACTAGTACCTTGAAAAATAATGTCTGGTCATCTTTACCCATTGCACAAGACTGTTAATACAGACAGTCAGGCAAGTTACCACATGACCGTAATAGTTCCAGTGTACGGTGAAACATAACCAAAATAAGGTCAAAGGTCAAGGTGATAACCTGACTTAACTGCATTATTTGGTTAACCTTTAACCTCCTGAATTTATGTAATAGATTTGTCCTGCAGTCCATTGAAAGTTTTAAGCATTTCATTTTCAATATACATAAAATTGAGCTTCCAACAGTGTATAACCCAAACAGCAAAGATATCAAAGGGTAAACAGTTTAGAAAAGAAGGTCACGACTCTGAAGTCTGTGTCATTAAATTATCTCCCTTTTTGAGAAACAGCTATTAAGCACAAAGAATTCTCAAATATATGAGAACGGGTAAAGTATATATAAACATAACCATTTGATGAAGTCCATTTCCTAGAATCTATGTTCACAAATGTACATATGTTCACACATATTCACATATATTCACGTATGTTCACATATATTCACGTATGTTCACAGGTTAAAGTAAAATCTACGTCCAGGAACTTTTAGTTTCTGGGGGTCTTGGAGTTGTAAAATTCTTTACTTGATTGCCACCACCGCAACATAAAAAGCGGTACCATCTGAAAATAAATGAAATATTCAATATTCTTAAAATGTGTAACAGTTAAAGCAAAATGTGACCGAAGTTTTGAAAAGGATTACTCTTTAATTAGTTTCAAACTATTTTCGCTTGTAGAAAACAATGTTATAGGCAAACTGATATATAAAGAAGAGGTGGTCTTATGGTAATGGCGTTTTCCTCTCTGAAAAAAAATAATTAAGGGATGACATAGTATAATTTAGAGAGAATAGAGTTCTAACTCAATCGAAATCCTTGCAGAGTTATGAGTCTTGTATAATGACATAAACTTATGACCTGGAAGACATGTGTTATGTTTACAGTAAATATATGCATTGGTTGTTGTGAAATAAAGGTACTTCAAAAATCATTGCAAAATGTTGCATCAACCCCAATGTCCAAAGTAAGATGTGTCCACAATGTCCCCATACTATAAGAAGCCTCACTTACAGTTGTGTTTGTCTTTTATTCTGCTTTATGCTTTCTTCCTTCAATTCATCCTCTTTTGTTCTATTTTTGCGAGAATATTTTGGAGTTGGCAGCTCCTTGTCTGACTGGGCTCTGGACAATGCCTGCATCCATAATCTGTTGATACAAATATTCAAGATTTTAGAAACGTTTAAATATAGTAACTATGATTAGTATTTGTCCGAGTGAGGTAATATGATCTTATACCTGTAAAATAAAGACAGAGTGAGGTAATATGATCTTATATTTGTAAATTAAACACCGAGTGAGCTAATATGATCTTATATTTTTAAATTAAACACCGTGTGAGCTAATATGATCTTATATTTGTAAATTAAACACCGTGTGAGCTAATATGATCTTATATTTGCAAATTAAACACCGAGTGAGCTGATATGGTCTTAAATTTGTACATGAAGTACCGAGTGAATGGTATGGTGTTATACTTGTAAATTAAGCACCGAATGAACCTATATAATCCCATACTTGTAAATCAAGTACCTACTGAGCTGATATGGTCTTATACTCGTAAATTAAGCACCGAGTGAGCTGATATGGTCTTATATTTGTAAATTAAGCACCGAATAATCTGATATGGTCTTATATCTGTAAATCTAGCACCGAGTGAGCTGACATGGTCTTATATTTGTAAATTAAGCAACGAGTGGGCTGATATGGTCTTATATTTGTAAATTAAGCACGGATGAGCTTATATGGTCTTATATTTGTAAATTTAGCACCATGTGAGCTGATATGGTCTTATATTTGTAAATTAAGCGGGGATAAGCTGATATGGTCTTATATTTGTAAATTAAGCACAGATGAGCTGATATGGTCTTATATTTGTAAATTAAGCACCGAGTGAGCTGATATGGCCTTATATTTGTAAATTAAGCGGGGATGAGCTGATATGGTCTTATATTTGTAAATTAAGCACGGATGAGCTGATATGGTCTTATATTTGTAAATTAAGCACGGATGAGTTGATATGGTAAATTAAGCACCATGTGAGCTGATATGGTTTAATATTTGTAAATTTAGCACCGAGTGAGCTGATATATTCTTATATTTGTAAGTTAAGCACCGAGTGAGCTGATATGGTCTTATATCTGTAAATTAAGCACGGATGAGCTGATATGGTCTTATACTTGTAAATTAAGCACCGAGTGAGCTGATATGGTCGAAACAGGAGACGATAAACAGGAAATTAAGACAGAATTAATTATATCCCGTGCTTAACTTATAAATCCAAATTATTATATCATGATTTTAACATAAAATTACTTTGCACTATCAATATCTTTAGCACACAGGCTCAGTTTCCTCCCTCCAGTGAAATGTAGCTCAAATAAACAGTTCGTATCAACATCTGCTGGGGGTAACAATGTCCGGCACTGAAAAATACATGGGTTACAATGTCCGTCACGTTATAATACAGTATATAGTTAACATTAAGTTTTGTGTGTAGTATTAGATGTCAATGCAAAATCCTTACGTGTATAATTTAAAAAATCAAGTCACTTAAATAGTGAGACATTTAATGTAAATCAAACATCTAATTGTATATGAAAATTTCCTGACATCTTAAAAATATGAATTTATAAATCATAGAATATGATAACTGTTTGAAAATATTTTGTATTTTTTTCAGCTGTCAAAAGATAATATGAAAAAGGTTAATTGGTAAGAATTCTTTTCTTATTTTTCTTTTCTTTGGTGGTGCAAAGATCATTCGATATTTTATCATTATTAATGGGTACGCTAGTTTACCAGCACAGAGTACTAGACAGAAAATTTTATTTTAGATCAGTGTTCTGTATAGATATTACTGATCTAAAATCTTTACCTGTTTCCCAAATTTGATGACGACCAGATCCGTTTTTAAATTCCATGTTTTCTGTGGTCTCGAACTTCTTTTACTGCTAAAATATTTCAGGTTTCCCCCCAGACTGACAACTAGCCAGGTCTTCTTCCAACGTTTAAACAACGGTTCTTAAACATAAATAGATAAACAGATAATTAGATTAAAACAAAAGAAAACAAACTAAAAAAAAAAAAAAAAAAAAAAAAAAAAAACAACAACGAAACAAACAACGATCAACGAAACGAACTATCATAAAACTATTTGCAAAACTCGGCAACTTGATGGGACAATTATTATCAAATAATCGATAAAAAATCCTAGAGAACTGTTGTATGAATTGCTTTAGTCTATTTTACTAAATATATTTATATGCATATAAACACAACAAAAAACGAAGAAAAATAGAACAACATAATAATAATTTATCAAAAAAACCCACTGTATTCTAATCAAAGAAAGACATTGATACTTAATTTCGACTAAAATATTAAATTTTTCGTCAAGAACGGTTGTTTAAAGCAATCGAATATTTGTTTTGATTTCATAAAAATTAATCAGTTTAAAAAGAAATGCATGAATCGCTCATTCTGCTCGTTCGATGTTTCATGCTCAGTTCGACACCCAATATTATTAAAAACTCTTAAACAATGAGAGAAAAACACCTATAAAACATGTACTCACTTTGTCTAAATGTCCATCCCGCTTTAAGAAGCACCACATCCTTTTCTCCTGTCACTAGAGACGCCATAATTGTCACATTTCACGTGCACAACATTTTAAAATTAATCACCACATGTGCAAGTCTAGCTGTTTGAATTATACATCAGAGATATCCAAAATCCACTACAATAAGTATAACTAGTTGCTTTGGTATTTATATCAACCACTGCAATAGAAATTTCTATTTTTGCATTCTCGTTTAGTTGAATATATAATTTATCTTCATATCTTTTCTTAATATGAAAAAAAAAAACAACAAAAAACAAAAACAACAACAACCACACAAAAACACGATAATTGGAAGTATTGCACAATGTTTACGCAGTTACTCTAAACGCAATAACAATAAATTATCTGGCTAGAACAAATTAAAACTTGACTTGTAAAGCAAAATCGAACGTTCGTTGTAAGAAATCCCTTTCATTCATTTAATAATTTAATAAAAACTTCTCATAAGCCGATATAAGAATATTTGTTTTTTAACACGTTCTGATTCCGATAAGTCGAATTTATTTAACATAGAGAACACATTCTGATATCTAATAAAAACATAGCTTTTCAGACTTTAAATGTTCGATTTGTATAGTAGCCAGCATTTATCCAATATTAACAACCATTGGCTAAGAATTCTACAAAGCATATATTATTTTACAAAGTAATTATATCAGTTTACATTTGTATAAGCTATTTTCTATATTGTAGTTTATATGACATGTCAAATTCAATATTATACATTTTTTTATAAAGTCAACCTTTAACCTGCCGTATATGTATTTGCCCTGTATTGAATGTTGCCTTGCTTTAAATCCAAAATTCAAAATCAAACTACAAGCTTCATAGATCCCGGTCAGAGTGCATGGATGTGCAGACTGGCCTGGCATCATACTAGCGGCAAAGGCTGATCATTTCGGTTCCAACAGGGTGAAAGAAAAAGTAACACCTTTAAAGCATTTTGAGTATCTCCAAATTTTACAAAAATACAAACTTACATTTGCATATATAACACTTTTAGCACAGATGGCGTATTTTAGTTACATTCCCAGTACATAATAAAAAAGTTCATGTTTAAAATGAGAAGGGGAAATCAATAATTACTTAAAATTGTTACAAATGTTAATCCATGTGTGGATTAACCTCAAACCAAATATAATCAGCTTAATTTAAATATACAGCTTTCTTTATAACTCTGATACACTAAAATATCGAACTTAGCTAATAAATACTATTAAATAATCTAAATCTAATTCTAGATCGGTCAAGATTTAGCCCGCCTTCAGGTATAATAGGTGGTTAATATCGGTGGTTCTAAATCACCCTGATACCAATACCAGCAGAGGCTTTGTATTGTTTGATGTGGTAGTGCTGTCCAGCTGTCGTACGGTAGGTAGGCTGGTTCCTCGTGGGTACTTATGCTATAAAAATCGCACACATCACACGCAACATACCGAACGTTAACAAATTAATTAATAACACATTTTCGTTTTAGCATCACTCCATCGCCATTCACCCGTTATCCATGGTATACATTTGTTTAAATACATCCAGATACTAATACTCATTCATTTGCATAGTCATTCTATAACATTAAACATTATGGAAACTGTACAGTTTATGTGTAATAATTTATGCTTGGTCCATATTTGATTTGATTGTATCTACAGCAGAGCTTATAGACTATTCCATGCTTCACAGTGTTTGTGGTCCTAAATATGTAATAGTAGCCCGTAGTTCTTTTCGACAGCAGTTCCATTTTAATATGATTAAACAACGTTTGCAAATGCCTTATATCAATAGAAGATCTCATTTCATTTTTGGAGTCAGGTCTTCAGAAGAAGTGTTAAACTTTTCTTAAATCCACAGTAGTCAATATTTTTTTTTTTCATGAAGTTTTCATTTTTATCCATATATGACTTTTAGCAATCACTTTTATTTGCAGGTCATAAGTAAGAAATACAACATGGTCTTGAGGGCGATATACAAGTTTACGGACTGATTGGTCAGACTGAGGAAGATATATGGCGAAGCGCAGCTGAGGGACTCCTGTAAGGTTTGGTGGAAATCCCACTACTAGTTTGACCTGTGAAAGCCGGACAAGATTTTTCTTCGTGGCCATTTTGTGCAGCGAAGCGGAACGTCCCGGCGATATCCACAAGTAGGGATGGTACTGATCACTACTGTAAAGTTTGGTTGAAATCCCACCTGTAGTTTGACCTGTGAAAGCCAGACAAGATATTTCAATTTTATACCTCTGGCGGCCATTTTGTGCAGCGAAGCGGAAATTTTGCTGTGTTGGACGTACTTTATAGATTCTGTTTGTCTTTACTTTTTGACATGGTGTTGTTGGGGTTTGATTTTTTTTTGCAATCAGGAAATTATAACGAATCTAAATTGATACTATTGGATCTAATAATGTTTTCAATTGGCACATAACATTTTGCAATCACGGAATGTTTATTGTAATATTTTATAAGGTGACATAACTATCATTATCTATAACTGCAATATCAGTATAAACTTCATTTGTAAATTTTATACACATTTTATACACACAAAAAACCACACACAAGTAATTTTTCAAAGTATTGCAATACAAGAGTCGCTGTGGGTTCCAAACCCCTAAAGGAATCAGGATTCATTCAATTGAGGTGTTCAGAAAGGTGGTAGTTCTATTGACGTGCCTGAAGTCATACACGGAGGAACTGAAGTATTTTTCCACCAACAAAGCTGGAAAATCGCCATGTCGTTATCAGGGCTATAGCTGCCAAAATAATGATAAAGAAGAAAAAGACATCTATAATATACTATAAGATTTATTCAAATCTAAATCCATTTCAATAAAATTTAATGATAAATAACTTAAAATCAGAAATCAGTTTTGTTTATTGTAGTCCCAAGGGTTTTAAACATCTTATACTTCATGGCTATTTCTTTTAAAGATGGCATTTGATTATGTCTTTCGTAAGACAGATGCCTATGATATGCCTTTTTTTTAAAAACAATAAATATCTTTAAAAAGATGCTCGGCCGAAGTAAACAAATCTGGAAACAAAGTGATCCCTCGGAAGCATTAATCACAACAAAATTACAAGAGAATTGCAGACTCAGTTTGATCGAGTATGTACATGAGAGATAATGATTACGTGCAACATCCCTCACGCCCCCTAGCACCGGCTTGAGCGGTACTCAATTCTCAACACTTAATAGTGTTGGCATCAATGATCCTTAAGGACCAGAAAAATATAACAACATAAGACTGCTTAACTTGCATATGTTATTTCTAAGTTTTCGAAACATATAGAAATGTAACAATGACATAGGAATTTCTTGTAGCTAAGAAAATAAAACATTTTGTGAACAGAAATTAAATTATAAGCATATTGATATCAATTGTTGTCTCTTCAGAGTATGACAGCTTCTATTTTGCAGTCTTTATTTAGATGTCGCTATTACTTGCTTTTACATGTGACTATTCAAATTTTGTTATCATTTAATATTGACTGTATTATTTAAAGACTCACATATAAAACATTGCAAATAGAAATTGAAAAATAATGGAAACTATATACTACCCAACTTTTGCTTAAATAAGCACTATGAGTTAATCTTTATTTTATCACAAGTATAAAACAGATTTCTAAATTCTGATTCAGCAATGTTTTGAGATAGTCCACTGACATGAATCCGTGTTGACTAATCCTTTATAATTCGTCTAGGTAGAATGGAAATCATGCATCCCAATATTTTCATGTTTTTGATTTGGTGTACAATCACATGTCTTTTGTTATACCGGCGACATTACCGGCTTATTGTCATTCAGTGGCTTAGAATTCTTACACCTGTCACTTCGATATGGCGAATGCTAACATTAGGCGGCATTTGAGAGAAGCAGAGTAATAGAAGGCTGTAGGGATGGTGCAGCAGGGTGCCACCTTCCGCCAGGTTTACGCGGCGCTAGGTGTACACCACACCGTCATCACCAGAGCCTGGGAGAGATACCGGCCACATGGTATGAGAAGGCGCTGCCAACCTGTCATAGATAGTCACGGGTCACACACACGTATTAAGTCTAAAGCCGTAAACAAAAATACCAATTTAACAAATTTGAAAAACACGCTGAATGTTCTGAAATCTTCAAAGAGGGGGTCATCATCTTCTTTAGCACGAAATTAGTGTAAAACACATTTATAGGATTAAAGTCGTCCTTCAGTTGAAGTGATAAAACATTTAATCAACATTTGAAACCTTTCGCACGGCGTTAATAAAAAAGACGTATACATTTTTTGAATACCAGGTCATTTCATCCTCTCAGTAGTCAGAAATTATTACACGGTATTGATGGACGTGCAGAAGCCGAAAACATAGGACTTTTTCAAGAAGTGCACAATTTCATCAAAAGTAGTAGAAGATTTACCTAATTTTGTTTACACATATACTATATTTATTTTCATATTAAGTTTATTAAAATACTGCTGCAAATCAAGGTTTGGTGCGTTTATTATAGTGGCAAATTGTTAATGGCATATATTTTTTTCCATTTTACCTCATTAAGTCATTTTGTAATTTTCTTTGTTTTTTTTAGGTTAAGCGATTCTTTTCTACCAGTTAAAATACATGAAATTAATATCGCTTATCATATAAATAAATATCTCAGATTTTCTAAAAACCACATTTACTTACTATGTTACCATTAAGCCAACAAGATAGACCTTCAGGGGAGGACCCTAGATAATGTTGGTTTAACTTTTGGTCCAACCTTTTTGTATGTACATTATATTCATGCTTAAGATATCGATGTTAGATTGTGTAAATTAATCATGTACAAAATATGCAATAAATTATTATTTAACTAAAAATAAAATTATCCCCAAAAATATTCACACTTAAACATATGGTGCTTAGCAGAAGTTGAGTATATATATATAATCAACAAACTACTTATTAAACGTTTAAAGATGTCTGTTATTTAATGCAAACAGCTATGATAAAATAGGAAAATATAAAACTTTGTAAAACTTTTGTTAACCGGCCTTGTTTTACAAACAAAAATAATTTTGATAACTTGATATAAACTTAAAAGTGGTTCATAACTCCATCCACCACATTAATTACTTTTGTGAGACAAATTTAAACTCCACATACAAATATAATTCAATTTGTACTCAATAATTTTAATACACTTCATTTTACCCTCAATGTATATTGTTTATTATTTATATACTGAATGTCATTTTACTTAAACATAAAAAGTTTAATCAAAACGGAATTTGAAAAGGATGTTTAGACCTATAAATGAGAACGTTTTGTTGGTGTAATAAATCCACGTATTTGCAAAAACGTACAGAGGGAAATACTAAAAAACATTGAAAAAAAAAACAAAAACAAAAAACAACAACAAAA